TAGCAACGCCACTGCGCAAGAGGGAAAGGAGCCCCGACACAAGGGGGGTGGCAACGCGCTCCGTTTCGTCCCTTGGAGTGACTGAAGTTGAAGGCAATGTAGCTTTTTGAGACATGTTGGTTTGGCAGCTTTCCACGCTGACGGTGACAGCCTGGTTTGTGTTTGATGTTGATTTGATTTGTGTTGCTAGGCTATGCTTGAGTACTTTAAGCATAGCTGTGTTTGCTGTGTTGTCAAGCATGACAGGCCCATGCAGACCCTAGCAGTTATGTCAATCGTGCCAGTCTCTCCAACCTCGCTCAGGCCTGAGCTCCGCTGCCCTGAGCGGCACCGTCGTCCCTGCGGGCCGCTCCTTGGAGTCCACCGAAGGGGATGACCGCTACAGCACCGACCGGCTACGGGCTGCTGCGGCTTTGCTGGGTGTGGCCCTGGATGCCTCCAAGGAAGAGGTGAGAAAAGCCTTCCGCCTCAAAGCCTTTAAGGCCAGATTTGAATTCGTTTGGGCGGTGGTATGTTGATCCATTCAATACTGTTGATGTCCAAAAAGCTCATGTAGATGCCCTCTTGTGGAAAGTGAAACTTGCTCAAAGGAACATGGAGTGGAGCTTGTGCTTCATATTCAGTTTTGTTCATGCACCGAGGGCGGGATTCTGGGCACGGTGTCCTTACCGTTTCCGGTGCGGCGCTAGTTTTGGCCTGCTGGTGAATATTACCCGGGGCGATCTAAGGGTTGTTTGTTTACCTATTTTCACACCAACTGGAACCAAAGAGAAACTATTCTCCCAGTATATACTCTTGACCGGGCAGCTGGCTGTGCGGCAGGTGCACCCAGACAAGCAGCCGAAGGCCAACAAAGAGTAGCTTGGCGCCATGCGAATCATCGCGGGCTCGGCTTGCGAAAGAAATAGTTTCGAGCCAAAGTCAAAAGTCAAACGCATGCGTTTGGTGCAGTCTTGAGTTCGACAAAGTCTCAAGAGCACCCATGCGCAAATCGGCTACAGGTGGGCTCACGCGGAAATGGCCCGGCTCAACAACGCTTACGCCTTGCTGTGTCAACCACGCCGTGCGCGGAGCAGCTCGGAGTCCTCTCGGTCGTCGCGCTTGGCCATCGAGAACTGAAATGCCTGTGATCTGGGGAAGCTGCAGAGCTTAGCAAAGCCTACTGCGTGTAGGCACTGCAGGGTGCTCTGCAAGGAGCGGCAACTTGTTAGGGGATCCAAAGGCAGCGGGCCGAAAAGAGAGCGGGTCGACTTTCAGTAGCACGGAGCAGCGAAGGCCCACAAGAAGACACAGGTAGATTTGTGTGCTTACGCTGCTAATTACTCTTGTTCTTCGTGACAGCCCGCCTACACTGTCTATTCCAAACAAAGTGACAAGTCAGAGTGGCTTGTATTGTCTATTCACGTCATGGACCAGTTCATTAATGTCCCGACCATTTGTTTGGCTCCTGGTTGGTGGGATTTTCGTTGCCCACGAGGTTGGGGGCAAGGGCCAAGCGTGCACGGCAGAAGGCCCAGAAGGACAGTGGGCGTTGGAAGGTTTGGATTTGGGCGGGTTGATTTTTGAAAAAGAAAAATCATGAAACATCATTTGAGATTGGTTCAAAAAAATTCTCAGCCATGCTTGGGCTTGGCCGAAAGCAGAACATGTCCAGTCGTATACACTAGGTGTTGATCATTGTTGGTCTCAAATCCGAGTTCATGTCTCAGCACTGACTGTCAAGTTTGAAAAACAGCAATCTTTCAGAAGAGTTGTTCCCTCGTTGAATGCGGGTTTGGTTTGGAGCACTGAGATCCAGGAGCTTCGCAAAGCCCAGAAGAAGATTGAGCATTGGAAGCGCAAGGCGGAGGACAGGGAGAGGTGTCCTTCGTCACTTCGCCTGGCACCTTTTTAGCAGCGAATCTACCCAAACCACATGGTTTTCAAGTATTTTCGATCTCTTCGGTTGTGGGGAAGGATGAGCACGTGATGAGCACGCAGCACAACGGATAGATAATCAGTGTGGATCGCCTGGCACCTGTCAATCACTGGATCATGAATTTCCTGTCTGCTAGGGTCGCTAGAAAGGCCTATAGCACTTGACACACTCATGCATTGAAGTTTGAATGAGTAGAAGTGGTCTTCCGGGTTGCCAAGATCCCTTCTGAGACTTATATAGATGTTCATCATCAAATCGAACTGTGGAATTTCTACATGAAATGTCTCTTCCTTTCTGTTTTTCGCATCCGACGCCCCGTGTTTTCAAGGTCGTTTAAACTAATTCCTCGTTTTGGCACAAGGAGCTGGCACAGCTTGAGGCGCCTCCAACGGCTACGGCGCCCGACTGCGTGCCGAGCGAAGCCAACACTGCTTTGAGGCCCAGGCTGGGCTAGTGGCCTGGTGGAGTGGGATCCGAAAGAATATCAAACAACTCAGGGCCACAAGCAGTTGATCGGCAAGAGATCCACAACCCACCTGAGAATTTTCCAAGGGCTTTTGGTCATTTGCCCCCGAAGTCGGCCGTTGGTTGGTGGAGTGGCTCAAAGGTAGCACTGTTTGAAGGACACAGGTAGGTCTTCAAGTAGGGAGTACAAAGATCAACCAATTGTTTGGATGGGGTGCTCGGAGTCGAAGCTTTTCTCCGTCGTGACACCTGACAGTCCTCGCCTGGCACTCGTCTCGTTTTTAGGCCTCAAGACCCCAAAGCAGTGGCATAATCCGGGGCAGGATGGTGGTCTTGCACCACTCGCAGGTCGATGAAGTCCTTGAAGGCCGTGCAGGATGCATTGCAGGCGCAGCCAAAGCTCAGCCCGAAGCTGGGACCAAATCCGGGGAAATCTACTGATTACTGACTGCTTGGACAAGAATGAGAGGAGCTACTGCCCCCCCAGTTTTGCTGTAAGGTCTACCGCCCACGTCCTCCACAAATTTTTAACAATTTGGTCAGCGCAAGAGGTGGTCCTAGCTTCGAAATGCCAACCAGAACCAGAGGCCAAATTCCATACATCATACATGCTTCCATAATCCTCAATACCGGATTCCGAAAGTACGACGATCGAATCGGAAAAAAAGCAGCATGCAAAAAGAAAACACACACGCCGGAACCGAGGATCGCTTCGTCGCCCTCGCCCTCTCCGCGCTCACGGAGCCGCTCACGCCAGAGAGCGGGGCCGGTGCCGGTGCCAGCGGCGCCAGGCAAAGACCAAGCGCAGTGGTGCGACCGGATGGGGGCGGTGAAGCTCCGCGTGTGACCTGACGAGATGGGAAGGTTTCTCATGGGGATGTAGGATTCTGAGGGAGGTAGATGGGGAGGATTGGGATGGGAAGATGGAGATCAGCTTGTATCTACTAGTAGTTGGAGAAGATTTAGGAGCAGTGTTGCAGAGGCGCTTGGGAAGGGTAGTTGTGAAATTCCGTTTAATTTTTGAAGATGCTTTACTGGAAGACACTTTGGCATTGGTCTGAAGATCAGGTCGACAAAGACCTGGGACGCTTTGGGCGCCTTGCTCCGCTGCCTGCGCAGCCTGCGCCAAGCCCCTCGGACCGCCGTCGCTGGCACCTCTGGCACCGCGCAGCGCAGCGGATCTTGCCCCCTGCCGCCAGCGGTGCCGCCACGCCCAGCGCGGGCGATGGCGCAGAGGATGGAGCTGCCAACGGCACGGCAACGGACGGCGTTTTTAGAGGCGCAAGTGATGGTCAAAGGTCACAGACCAGTCTGAGAAACATTGAGAAGCCAGTGCTTATGGAGAAAATTGACGTGTTGTGGAGCAAGGATGAGTGATGCTTCCTTCATGTTTGGAGACAAGATGACCCTGAAAATAGACAATTTTTCCTGTATGACCTGGAAGACACAATTCTTTTTGGCAGGACTTTTGGTTAAATAGTAGATGTTAACCCATTTTCCCTATTTGGTGTTAATGACGACCTCTACGAACTCATAAGGCAACACCAAGTATCCAACCACGCCTCTTGGTTTTCACTCATTGATCTACCCTACCAGGTGGTCGCTCAGAACCCTGTGGTCATCGTGCAGGGTGCGACAGGTTCTGGAAGCTTCGTCGCAAGCTCAGAACATGACAACGGCTGTTCAAATTCATTGATGTGTGGGATCGCTAGTGGGTTGGAGGCCATTGCTAGTAGGTTGGAGGCCATCGCCAGTAGGTTGGAAGCCATCGCTAGTAGGTTGGAGGCCATCGCTCTTAGGGAGGCCATCGCCAGTAGGTTGGAGGCCATCGCTCTTAGGTTGGAGGCCACTGCTGTTCATAAACGAACAGCAGTGGCCTCCTACATTGATCTGCAGATTGTTGATGCCCATGTAAATCCGAGGAAAAACCACACAGCTCCCACAGTACATCTTGGAACATGCTGCCGAACAGAACGAAAGATGCAGGTGGGAGGAATACCTTGCGAAGAACTACTGATGGTGATTTGAGGGAGACGCCAAACAGCTCCATCCGGGTAACTTAACTGACCCAAATTCCCACATTCATTTGGGAAAGAATGCGAACATCCGGATGTTGTACTTTTTGTTGTGTTAAACCGCAGAGCTCAAGCGTTGATATTCATGTGGTTTTGCTTTCCATCTGTTTTTTCTGCCTGGAGGATCTTGGTGACTCAGCCCCGGCGTGTGAGCTGTGTCAGCGTGGCGCGGCGAGTGAGCGAGGAGCGTGGTGAGGCACTGGGCCACACCGTGGGCTATGCCATTCGACACGAGCATCGCGGCGGCCACTTGGACGCGGGCGGTACACGCGGAGATCATCGACTGAAAGCTGACTGAAGCCGAAGGGAGCCGGTGAAGGTCACAAAGGTGGGGGGAGCTTTCGTTTGAGTTTCCCATTTAAGACGCTTCCCTTCATGCAGTCAGAAAGGGGATCCTGTTCCGGGAGATGTTTGTGAAGCAGGTTGAGGAATATCACACTAATATGGCCTTCCAATCTGCAGCAAGCGTAAGAAGAAAAGATCAGGTATCACAGCCTGGCCCCCACCATGTGAAACTCGCACTGGAAGGGTTGGGCTCAGTCTGAAAACTGATCCGCCTCGATGATCAGCTTGCTCTGAGGCGATGCCAGCTGCTTGACTTACTGCACTCAAGGGGTGTTGTTGAGGCGCCTGGAATCGGATCCGGAACTTCAGGGCATCACCCACATCTTTGCTGATGAGGCCGGAGGTCGGAAGATGTCAGAAGTGGCAAGGGGGCGCTGTTGCAGCTCCGGTGCGTTCCAAAACACTTTGAAGACTTCGGGGCTAAGCAGCTCGACCCAAGCAGCCTCCGTCATGGCTGCAGGTGCACGAGCGCAGCCTGGAGGGCGACTTGCTCCTCCTGCTGCTGCGCGAGCTGAGCCGAAGGCGCTCCAGCCATCACTCGCTGCACATCATTGCCATGTGGCGGGGCGGAATAGGGCAGAACAGGGTTTTGGATGGTTTTTGTATGTCTAGTGAGTCTAGTGTACTCTCTATTCTTGTTCTGTGGTCTTTTTTGGATATGTGTCAAAGGCGGGAATTTGAACAAATGGGTGGGAGGGTGGCTGACGTGCCAAATCAGGGCCATGAGAGCCTGAAGCACGAGTGAAAAAGCGATCCAACAGCGCTGGACGATTTGGAAAAACTCTTCAGAAGTGGTGATTCTGTAGCGGCACATATCCTCACCCCAACAAGGATTGCCTTGTAACATCTTGTAACTTGTAAACCGACCAACCATAGAAGCACCAAATCAGCTAAAGAGGATCTACTCACCACATCGAACGAACCGAACGAACTTCCAGGTCTGCGACCTTTGATGCCCATCGTTTGCAGAAGTACTTTACAAACGGATCCATTCAGCCAGTGGTCTTCAAGCTTCCAGGTGGGAGGAGCTGACGGAGCGACATGGATCATGTGGAAAGGAAAGGGTGTGGGAAATGCTGTGTTGATCGACCTGTTGATGATATGCTGATAAGCAAAGGTCCTTGGATGGAATGGGCTTTGCTTAGGATGTCGAACCTTTATTGGGCGCTGGAGCTGTGTAGCGCTCCAAGAATGGAGCCCGTATGAACCTGTACAGAAGATTCTGGTGCTTCCAAAACGGATGAACCCCATAGATTTCTACAAAAACCACCAGAAACTACTTGGAGACATTCCAGAAATCCTGCGTTGCACAGCTTCATCATGTGGATCCTCTCCGTTTCACTGCGTGAGGCAAGATGTTTCCAGTGAAGACCATTTTCTTGGAAGATGCCCTGGAAATCACGAAGCACCAGCCAGACGGTCCATTGATCCCCAACCGTCGCCTTTGCTTGAGCCGATACAGAGCGAGCACGAAGTACAGCGGGGCGCCGTGCTCACAAGCACCAAAGGTGGAGGACGCCGAACGACGCAGACGTCGCGGGTTGGGGGCGAAGTGCATGTGTGTGTGTGGATCGGTGTTGAGTGCGGACCAAGACCTGCACCAAACGTTGAAAACTGATTGGTGTGAGGTGCTGGAAGGATGAGTGGGACGCTGGTCATGCTGCATGCTGATGGGGGTTCACTGGAATGTGTCCAAGCCACCCTCCAAAATGCAAATGGATAACCCGCAGCCATCCACGTTCTTCATTGGAATGTGCCCTGACATGCGCACAGCAGTAGACATAGCATTTGCATGCATTTGCCAAGCTATCAGTTTGGCATGTTTCTCTTCATGCTGGTGATCGTTGTTTCTTCCTTCGATTGTTAAATATTATTCATGTATTGGACCTTCAAAGTTGGCAGCTCATGCTGACTTGCCACGGGGTTGATCCCCACTTGGTCCCTAGCTATATGTTCTGCACTGGAGTCATAGAGGACCTCAGCAACTACTCCGTGCAGCAGCGCTATGGGCACTTGAGTACGTCCACCCGCTCCGCCCTGGCCGCGATGGATCCCAACCACGTGAACTTCGAGCCGCGACCGAAAACACCACGCCCCGACCGGAACCGGGACGTGGAGGGGCGACGGTGTCGCCCGACCGCGGAAGTCGATTTGTTTCATAGAAGCCGTGCTAACTCCATCTCCGAAGCCCTGTGAGTTGGAGAAGTCCGGAAGGTTCCAAAGGATCGATCAGGTTCGTTCCCCAGCCGATAGGAGATAGCAAGCCCGAAGGGCACAATGCTCTTGTGTTTTCGTGTGGGTGTAGGTGTGTTTGGTTGAAAAAGGACAAAACCCATGAGTTACTTTGAGTTACCTTGTTGATCTTTGTTGAAGTTATGGATCTTGGAAGAACGATCTCTCCGACCTTCGGCGTGACTGTAGCCAGCCTTCCAATCTCTTAACATGGAAGTGGAAAATTGTTTGCTTTGAAGACTAGATATATATATATATACACTCTTAATTTCTTTCCGTGTATCATCCAAGAAAAAGAGCTAGTCAGACTAGTCATGTTCCGGCGCAACGAGCCCAAATTTGGATGGTGACCAGACAATGTCATCATAAGATTTACCTGCGACATTGGAAGTCTCTTTCAAACACATTCAACAACCGCCGTGTGGACTTTTTAGCATCCATGCTTTTAGGACTTCGCAGCCGATGTGGTGAAGCACTTCTTATCGCAAAGTCCTCCCGAAGGAGCCCGACAGTGGGAGGAACATGGTAGTCTCCAACTTCATTCCTTAAGATACGGCTGGCTATAGGGCCACGGATCGAGTGATCGATTCATTGGCTATATTTGTGGCGCCAAACAATTGAATGTGCAAATTGTGCATTACATACTGTTTGGGGTTGGGAAGTTTGTTGTAAGGGAATCGCTACTAGGAGCAAGGACGCTACTAAGGGCTCCTGGCATCGCTACTAGGAGCATGCTTACTACTAGTAACAAGAAGTTATTAGCTTATTGTTTCTAATAGCTTCTTGTTACTACTAGTAAGGCAC